TGACGTAGGTCAACCAAAAAAGTTACAAATACTTGATTTTCTCCATTATTAGAAAGAATATAAATTTAAAACTTTGTGAATGTGTTTTTTATGTTAAGATGAACATATTTAGATGATAAGTAAAAAATCGCGGAGTTGCCCTTTAATTTGATTTAATTTAGGAAAATAGCTCTTACACTTTACTTTACCCTTTTACTTTTGAAAGAGTCCCCTGATACACAGCTTAAATTTTTTAATTATATCCCTTTTATCACTACTGTAAATTCAGAAATTATTGCATGCATTTATCATTGCGATTTTTCAAAAATGGACAAGAATGCGAGTTTAATTAATGCGATTTCAGAACAATCTACACACAGATCTATGTTTTATTTATCAAAACGCGAGTTCTTATTATTGCGATACTCATCTAGTCGCATTATCATTATTTGCATTAATAAAAACCTCGCAATAATTTCTGAATTTACAGTAATTGTTTAGACTTAGACTTGAGAAATTAGACATTATCTACTGTTACATCCATAACAAACTGAAAGTTTTTATTTACGTATAAACCTTTATCATTAGATGAAGATAGGTATTGAATTATTTATTAAATTGAATTCTTAAGTGATATATCTAAAGTATAGCAATGCAAGATCATTAAATTGCTACATCACCTTGAAATATGTATAAAAAAAATCAATTCAGTGAAATATTGGGGTTAAAATATAATAAATCTAAAGATGAGTTGGTTTACACGATCGTACTAATGTATTATTGTCAAAAAGCTTAATACTATTAAATCTCTTTTAACGTCGAAATTAAATTTATAATTTATTTATTACAAATTTGATTGTTCGATTATATCTAAACTGCCAATTTCCCTCACCTTTGGTTTAAGCAAATATTCATAATCCATTTGTAAGTTATTATATTTGCTAAAAAAGAGGACTCTTATGGGAAGGATATAATGATTACAATTTTCAATATAAGTTGAAAAAATTGGTCAGGCACTCATGACTAAGGTTGACTTTTCATTTCATTTAATGGAAACTAAATTTCTCCATGAAAAACCCATCATTCATTGATCAACTTGGCTGTACCAAAAAACAAACTAAGACTGTAACTTATATATTACCATGTATGGAAGAATTTAAATACATAATGGTAATGAATAGAATTGATGCTCTGCTTAAAATCTTTCATCTAAGATTTGATTTGATTGATTGATTGGTGTTTAATGCCACTTTCAACATTATTGTGCTATTTTGTGGCGGTCAGTTTTTATTGGTGGAGGAAGCCGGAGTGCCAGGAGAGAATCACAACCTTTGGTAGGAAACTGACAATCCTAGTCAATTAAGATTTGAGTTGAGTGCGGGATTCGATCTCACAACCTCAGTGTTGACCGGCTAGTGATACAGTAGTTCGACTACTTAGACCACTCGGCCACCGACGCCCCTCTTTCATCTTAGAGAGTCATGTTGATATCAGTGAATGATATATATTTCAGTGGAGTCCAAGCACTAATATACCTGATGTACCCTTTGGTGCCTCATTTTTTGTTGTAATATATAATTATTGACAGGTTTTTTTCTTGAGTAAAGATACAGAAATTTCTACAACTTTTAATTTGCTGGACTTCTGTTATTTATATCTGAATTTTTGTAGGAATTTTTTAACAGCATTTATTTTGGATTTGGAAAGTCTGAACTTTGTGCACTGTCTCACTCACAGTAGCAACAGTTTTGATTTGCATGTTAAAAAGTTGGCAAAGATCGATTAATTCAATAAACTTGTTTTGCATCTTCAGACCAAATGACTGCTTGCAAATGTTATAGTGCCATGTGAAGAAATAAACCAGAGTCTTAGTGTGGATATATTTTATGGTATAAAAAAAAGCTTGGTGTTCCATAGAAGCAAAACGATATTTATCACTTAAACCATGTTAATTCTTCCTGTTATTGTGTTCTGAAAGTTTTAACATGCAAAACTGATAAAATTTATTTGAATAGCTAAAATGTGTTTAAATGGCAAAACTTACAGTCAAATGTAATGTCTAAGATACATAAAAGATTTGGTAAATATTGGTTTCTGGATTAAAAATTGGTAAAATAGTTTTAAACTGTGTTTATTTTGAGATGAACCAAATGTGGAAATTTGTTTGAGCCACAAATTTCAATGATTGCATGTCCTATCATTTGGGAATGAACGTCTGAACACAGATGTTGTATTCACAATAAGGAAGTCATGAATCTGAATTGGATTGAGTTCTCATTTTGGAATTATGGGCAATTTATTTCATTTTAAGATAAATTGAATCTAGTTTGTATATTTTATAAGGAAAGATATAGATTAGTTTCAAACTAGGAGATGTTGTTTTAATTGAAATATTTCCACAAAAAGTTCAATTCCTCAAGAGGATCAATGAGATATGGAAGCTTGTTTAATGATTGAAGATTTCCAAGAGGATTAAACGTTAAGAAGATAATGGAATTTTGATTACATGGGAAAAACATTTAAATTTACTTATGGAGTTTGTAATGAAATAAATTGCTAGTAATTGATTTGTTCAAAGTTTTTGAATGAGTTATTTCTGCACCAAGCTAAAGTTTGGACAATAAGCCACTTAACAGATAGTAAAGACTATTTAAGCCTCAACTTTATTAAATTTTGCAAGTTTGCACCGGAATTGAAGTTCGAAGGTTTAAAAAAGACTTTATTTTAACAATTAGATTGGAATTACTAGCAGGTGATGGAAATAGGAGATTTGTCAATATGATTTAAAGTACAAATTTTGGTTGTCAAAGTTAAGTGGTGACTTGAAAATATCTGAAAAGAAAACGTTGCCTTTTTCAGTTTTGCACATTGCAGAGGATGAAATATCTGAATAAAATCTGCTTTGGTAAAGAAATGGATGTATAATTCTGTGAAAAGAAAATTCCTCTGAGTGAATGTTAAATCTTCATTACAATCTTGTAGAAAGATCATGAAAAGCCTTTAATTGACCATGATTAATTGCCGACAATCACAGCAACATTAAATTCAACTTATGGGATGGAACTCTGCTATTAAATTTACAAGATATATATAAATTATTCAAGAAAACCATGAGGAAAATTTACATTTACGAGTCTCCCTGGGATTTTTATTATGAAAAATTGAATGGACAGGTTGTTCAATGATTGTTAAAATTTGATGTTTATTACGGCTGTTTTTGGTATTGTTTGTGGCGATTCTTTCAGTTGATGACAGTTTTCCTTAGAAATAATGGTTGTCACAAGTATACAAGGAACGGCATTATTGTAGCAACAAAGAATTACACTTGAAAGATTCCAAACTGCCAATACATTGATTTTTTTCTATGTACATTTCTTATTTGATTTATACAATTAAAGTTTTATGAAAGTTTATAAAGTCAGTATACTGGATGACAATTAATTACAAGAAAATTCATCTGAATTCTCAAGGGGTGATATTATCAAACTTTATAGATTTTTAATAAATTTGGAAAAAATTAAGTTTTAACATATGGATTAATTAGCAGTGTGAAGGAACACAAAAGTTGGCAAAAATGTTTCCGTTTCCAAGTTACAAACATGAAAAGTTGAACACAAGAATTAAGACTTGTAGTAAAAAGGTAAGTCATGTACTATTTAAATATTGGAAAGTGAAAGAAAAGGGAAGCTAGGTTAAAATGATGAAAGAGAAGAAAATGTAATCTTGAGTTTTAATTAAGAAAAAAGTGAAATGGTTTTTGAAGTTGTAAATTAACTATAAAATAAAACCCAGTTGTCATCATATTAGATACATAGATAATTTTTTTTTAGGGAAAAGGGGGGGGGGGGGGCATATAAGTTAAATTTTTGGCAGTCAAGTAAACTTTGAAAAAGTTTATTCTAGAAATCAAGGGTTGATCAGGAAGTGTTAATTTACGATAATTGCTTAATGCCAACACCTTTACACTGCAGGAGGAAAGACCTCTAGCTAATATATATTTATGTCAAAGTGAATTGATATTGATGTTATGATATAATATATTGAGTATTCATAATTTCAATAGATCTAGTATTCATGATTTTCTGTTATTTTGAATTTTTATGCCCCACCTACGATAGTAGAGGGGCATTATGTTTTTCGGTCTGTGCGTCTGTTCGTCCGTCTGTCCCGCTTCAGGTTAAAGTTTTTGGTCAAGGTAGTTTTTGATGAAGTTGAAGTCCAATCAACTTGAAACTTAGTACACTTGTTCCCTATGATATGATCTTTCTAATTTTAATGACAAATTAGAGTTTTGACCCCAATTTCACGGTCCACTGAACATAGAAAATGATAGTGTGAGTGGGGCATCCGTGTACTATGGACACATCCGTGTACTATGGACACATCCGTGTACTATGGACACATCTGTGTACTATGGACACATTCTTGTTTGTTATGTTCTGCTGAATTTTATTGACTTTCATTTTGTTAATTGACATTACAAATATTCACTGTTCAAGCCTTAAGGTAATCCAAAAACCAAAAGGATAAAAATTCTGTATTAATTGTTATATTTACTGGTTCACACAAAGGAAACACAAAAATTATTTTGCTGCAGAGCTGACTTATATACACTTTGCTACAGATAAATAGTCTTTCGTATAATATTAAGTGTAATCATAAGATGAGAAATTTTGAGAAACCATTGAAAAAGAGAAATTTTTAGAAACCATTGAAAAAGGTATTGAGGTGCATGCTGGGAAAAGGATTTGTTGCCCTGTATTATGATACTTCACTGTGACTTTGAAATAAAGAACAGCAATGAAAGCACTGTTCACGGCTTATTTTTATGTAGTGATTTTATGTCGTGAATTGGTACACCATGCACATCCTTACTTTTCCATTTCAATAGACAGGCCCAGTTTTAATTTTACATCGTGAAGTATGGCTCATTGTAAACTTTTGTTTTTATCATATAGTAACATTTATATTTTAACCTATTTAAAAGTTTGGAATAAAACAACCTTTCTTTTTATTTTCAGACTGTGAGTCGAGCTAGTAGTAGAAAGTCAAGAGCTGAGAGTGGATTTTCCAGACAGGACAGAGGTCAATACTATGACAGCGACAGTGATGAAGAACCAAGATCTCCAACCAAGCGTGACTTGTTCCTGGAAGCTGAATTATCAAATGTGGATTCCATATTGGCAGACGACAAGGCTTTTGATACAGATCTCGAAGTTGAAGGTACGACTTATTACAATTCTTACATGTTTCATAATAGTCTTCATATGTTATGACTTATTTATTTTAAATATATTTTTTAATAAGTGTCGATTTATAATCCTGCTTTACCTTGCTATTCCAGCATACCTTGAATTATATATTTTTAATTTACATATTTTATGATCTTATAAAAAAATGTGATTGATTGATTGAATGTTGACTTCTTAACTCCGCTATTATACATAACTGAACTGTCAGACCTTACATGGTAATATTTATGTAATTGTAATTCATTGTATGCTAATTAGTCTCCAGTCAAATTTATCCTATTAATACTGTAAATGTTTATTGACAATAAAATTGATTTGATTAATTAAGTTTCTAACTTTTAGTAATTGTGGTGTTTTACAGTTTGTATTAGTTTGGCATATTTAATATTTCAAATTTGTATTCACAGCTAGGTCTCTTAATTGTTTTTTTTTCTTCAAAATTTAGGTGTCTAACTGGTTGGAGGGAGTTGTTAACATTATAACAGAATATTTTAATTTAATATTCCTAAGTTTTAAACAATGGTATTAAATACATTTCCTCTTGTTTAGTTTCATGTTTTCGAAATTTACAATTTATATTGTAATGGATGTTTCTTCTAGTCATAACTGAAATAGACACCAGGTAATCATTTGACCTGTTATTATTTTCCAAAAACAGTAATATCCCAAGTCAATATGATAATTGATTTCGTTAGATCAAAAGTTATTATAAGTTAAAATGTTTGCTCAAGTTAATCGACTTGAAAAACAAATAGGTTATAATTGATTTATTGTGTCAGAAAATTGTTATAATTTCTGAAATGTTATTGTCAGTTAGAAATTCAAGTATTTACTTAAAGGCTAAAATATTGATAAAAAGGGATTATTTGTAATTTTTGTTCCAGTTATTAATATCCACTAAGTTCCGACCTATATTAAAAGGTGTGAATAGAATAGAAATACACACAAATTTTTGCAAGTTCATTATTATAAGTTCTGCTTTGAATAAGATTTTTATGATTATTGTGTCTTTTAAAAAAAAAAGGTGATTTAATGATCAATTGAAACAATACTTAATTATCATACAAATAAAAATTTAATTCATTTACAATCTTGCACAGAATTTTTAAACATCAACAATTATCTCCCTTTCAATAAAAAGTAATGTACAGAAGAAAGTTTAATCAGTTTATTTGAAAGTCTAAGTGAAATAAATGGTAAAAAAGGAAGTATACAATAATTGATCTTTGTCCTTGCTTCAGACATTTGGCAGACCAAATTTAAATTGTTAGATTTTAGCAGAATGCTCTAATTCTATTTTTTTTTGATAAATGGAAACATGAGTTACACATCAGTGAGACTGCAACTAAATAACAAAAAAACATTAAAATATCTACAAGGCAATCTATAGTTTTCAACAATAGACGTATACATAATTTTTTGTCGCTTGAGACTCTTTTTACCGTGTTAAAAAAAATGCCTTGTGAGTTTTTTTTTTTAACATTGTCATTTCTTGTTGGATTAATATAATGAGCTTGTTACAAATAGAAGTAGTTTACTTGTGTATTTTATTATGATTTTCTTATGAAGTCTTTTCATTTTCTGATGATATAAACACAAGTATTATTTTTTGTCTGGAACTCTCCTACATCGTGTTCATTTTTCAACCAAATTAAAATTGTATAAAATTTTTTATCATGCATGTTTATGTCATGAGAAAACGAAAAGAATTAAAGACAAAAAAATGAACAACTTAACCAAAAAACTTCAGACAGTTTTGCATCTTTCAACACCTAGTTAGTTAAAATCCAACCATAAATGACTTCAATTTTTTTTTTTTTTGAAAAATCTGTTTTTATATGAAGAAAAAAGCAAAAAAATGAAGGTGGCGAATACTTAGATATATTTCCATACCATCATCCCCAAATTCTAAAAATGACAAACATCCTAGATATATGATATATAAATAAGAAGATGTGGTATGAGTGCCAATGAGACAACTATCCATCCAAGTCACAATGTGTAAAAAGTAAACTAAAGATACTTAGATACAACAACAACTGACTCGTGATAGGTGTATGAATAAGTGGTAGTATAACCTTCCTCTTTTTTAACCAAGGTCAGTTTAGTAACAATTCTTTATTCAAGAACTTACACTTAAAATCAGTTCAGGAAAAGTACTTCGCCCTAAACTAATGCATAGTAGTTCGCTTAACAAAAAAGTAAACAATGATGTACCATATTAATGAATTACTCCCTTTTGCTCTTTCTTTCTTTTTTTATACTTTTAAGTACTATGGTCTTTACACAAATTCTCATAAAATTCAGCTTAAAACTGTACTTAATAACATATTATTGAGGGGAGGAATTTATCTGTGTGTAAATTTGTATTCTATCAATATTTCACATGTATCGTTGAAAGACATTTTTTAATACATGTTTGAACAATAATGAAATTACAAAAATTGGATTTTATTTTTCATGGTATGAGATAATGTTGCTTTACAATGTCTAACCTTAAAGTAAACATTTTTATAATAGGTAAATTAAGCATGTGTTAGTGGGTCGTCAGTATTTAAATACAATTTTCTAGACAACATACATACGAAATAAAAACCAAATACCAAATACTTTATGCTAGAAAAAATATGTATTTAAATGTTTTAATATTAAGATATGAATTTGAAAATGAAGGGATGTTTTGTCAATATATTTATAATTTGTGGATTGAAATGAACAGAACATTCCGTAATTGTTCAAAATTTGTGGTAGACCATGTCCTTGCCAAAATATTTTGCTGACGTAGCAGGATTTTTTTATGTATCAAGCCACTTCAAATTTTTTGCACAGCTCTTAGATGCCCCCAGTAGCTCCATTGCTACCATGACTACTATATGGAGAGATTGCCTTCTCTTGGAGAATCTTACAACAGAGTTTTAAATGACATGAATTAAAAGTAGATATATGATACACATCAACTCAACGACAGCAATAATAATTTATAATTTCGAAGATTTGTTGATGATGACATATCTTTTATATCCTCTTTTAGATTTACCTGTCTATTGTTGAAGTCAGTATGTTAATCTCAAGATGTTTTATTTTTTGTTGTTGGGTTCCTGTCTCTTTGATTAATAACCCATGTCTACCTTTTACATAACTACTGGTATAGTTTCTATCTAAAAATGGGGTGTGACACCAATTGTCTTTTATTATTGAAGACAATGTTTACCTGTAGAAAAATTTTGATATCATTATGGTTGACACATAACCTCAAGTGTCCATTTGTTCGCAGTTAACAGCCACTGATGGTCTCCCATACATATAATCAGTTGTTCCAAAGGCTTTGATAATTCAACTGGACATTTGGTCCAGTAAACCATTCTTCTTAACTGGACCAGACTCTTTTTTATAGGACATTTACACCTATGATTTGGACAAAATTAAAAAATTTACTGGTCATTTGGTCCAGTAATGTATATCACTTAACTGGACCAAACCAATTTTTACTGGTCTTTGCCCAATGTTCGGCGACCTTGGGAATGACTGTATAATACTGTATTGTTGAAATTGGTTTGTAATAATCTTTGTATAGGGAACTCAACTACTTCATCTACAATTGTGGATTATGTAACAAGTTTTCCCAAACTTATATATTATCTCAATATTAAACAGGAAAACCAAAGAATCATGCAACACTCTCAGATATGTTGGCAGATTTCCAGTTCGTAAGAACGGCTTATTGTCTCGATGCCAGTATAAAAGTCAGCACCGATTTTCTCGGTGCTCTTAGTATGTGGTTTTGACAAATGATGTAGATCGTAGGGATTTTTTTTCATTTGATTTATTATTTCTTTTATTTATTTGATTTCAATTTGTGCCAAAAATAAGGCAGTTTTATAGTATTATTGTTTCACCTAGAAAATACAAAGTAGCAGATCACACAAAAACTGCAATTCAAATAATGGACAATCATAGTAGAAATTTTATTTCCTACATTATGTTTGTGTTGCAATTAATTGCTTGATTTTTAGTAGCTATGTGTCAATTTGCTTCTTTTTTTGTTTTCTTTTTTTTTTGCAGAAATTCATAAAAACCTTTAAAGGAAGAAAAATGTATTCAGAAAAGTATTTTGAACCTAACAGAAATTTGCTCATTTTAGAATGAAACTATCTAGTAAGAGGACAAAAGGGAAAAAAATATAAAAAATAAATAATTACTTTACATTTATTTGTAATGGAAAAAGATATGTGGTTTCGGAGATCAGATACAGAAATTTACAGAAGCTTGTATAACTTATGTGCTGTTGTAATGTTAAAATAGAATGGAGGTTAATGAATATATTCTAGAGAGTTATCTCCCATTTGTCATTTACAGAAATTGAAGATCTGATAGAAAACTTATATCCAATAAATATTGGTGGTAAGATCAAACTTCAGTACACTGGTGTTTGGATAATATGAGGGAAATGGATATGCACATTCATAATGTAATCAATAAGGGAGATAACTATTTATATAATGAACGGGTTATCTCCCATTTGTGATTTTCAGAATCAAGAGCTGATGGGATATGTATGTCTTATCAAATCAGGTGTTTGGCACCGAATTGTTAAACACAGGTGTATGGATAACACTGGGGGATAAATGGATGCACTCACATTAAAAGTAATTCAGAAATAGGTTTAATCAAACTAACATTACTTAATAATGTACGTAAATTTTCAAGAAAATTTCACTTTTAAGACATATTAATTGACTGTCTGGATTTTTGATATTATTTCAAAAGTCTTATTTCTTTTCACAATCTATATATGAAAGATCTTTTGACATAGATTTTGTCATGATGATTGTATACAGAATGCAATTTTTAGTTGATATAGATAAGGCACACTGTTATTTTTGCAAATGATTAGAAAACATTTAGAAAATTCTGTTTACAGCATTTTAAGAGTTTAGCATGATTTAAGAATTAGTTATATGGGAACTAAGATTTTTTTATCGTCAGGAGCAATGATTTAAATAGAAATTACATTTTCTAAGGGGAATTTTGTCATAGTTTTTTTATATTTTGTGTGGTAGTTGATTGAATTTGTCACAAATAAATTTTTATATTTTTTTGCTAGACATGTTTACAATTAGCAGAGTAGCTGATGATATCACAATTTGTGTAATAATTACAAGTATTATTTAAAAATATCTAAAATTTGAAAATTTCAAGTCATAAGTTAAACATTATGTTTGTATATACTATGTTTTCAAAAGAATAATGAAAAAAGATTTATTTAAATATATGACACAGATTTCTCAATTAACATACATTGTTGGCTTTAACAAGACAAAATTGTTAACAATGCGAGTATCTTATTTACATGAACCATTAAAAGCTGAAAATTAGCGATAGCATGTTCAGTGGTTTTGTATAGAATTAAACATTTTAAAACAACAAGTTCAAAATATGAATATTCAGTAGTGATATTTTTTTATACACTCAAAACATTTTTTTTTTTTTCAAAAATAGCTGTATAACAATAAAATGAAACTGAAATTTGTTATTGTAATGCTTCAATATTCTGTGGTGAAAAAGATATAGGACCAAACTCTGACAAGTATGTGTATTGTTTTCATACAGAAACCACCACTACCTATGATAGAAAAACAGATTATATCAATGATTGTAAGAAGAACGGGATAGTACCTGCATCATACTTCCTTCGTCACATGGAAAAACCACAGTTAACCATGAGCCATCATGGACTTGGAGAGGAGGGCATGAAATGTATAGCTCGATCTCTAGCTGTAAGCTATTTTGTCAGCCTTTGAGAAATATTATGAATTTCCTAAGTTATTAGATTTTATTACCTGGGATTGCTTATTTTAGTTTGTTCCAAATTTTGTTGATTGAGGAAAATTGTATATTCATGGATACTTGATTACATGGTTTTCCTGTACGATAGAGAATTTGTTCCTTGTTCGATTTTTAAATTGTTGTTCACCTATCTCACAAAATATACAAAAAACTGTTGTTTAATTTGTGGATGTTTGAAATCAAATATATATTATATATTACTCAAGTCTCAGGATGGGAACAAAATTAAAATTTATATGAATAAAACCACCTGATGGTTTAAGTCATTTAAGACTCCAGTTTAGGTAAATGTAAGTGAGGCAGCTACCTATTAATATAACAAATCCAAAAGAAATATCTAAAGGTCAACATAGTTTCTTTAAGGATGTTTGCTCCTCTTGTTTTTGAATTTCTGCCAGATTTTCAGAATCCTCTGGTTTTATCCATGTAGTGCCATTAAATATTTTGCCCACTAACCCCTACTTTTCTTTCCATAATTTGATTACATATAGTTTAAAATGTCATCTTTGAAAATCTTATAAAATCCTTGTTAATTTTTCATTGTTTTGAAAGAAAAAACGTGCCAATGTTAAATGTATGAAAAATCTAGAAAGAATTATTTCCCGCCAAATTTTCAATGGCTTTTATCTTGAAAACAAGCACACAGACCCTTCATTTTTTTCTGCTTTTTTAGTTCCTTTATTTATGTACTATCATTTTAGAACAGTCTTTTATTTTGAAACAGAGTAGCGAACATCCTTAAAGAAGTGATGATGTACCATATGTCACCAGTTTGACCCTACCTAATAAAGAAAGATTAAGCATGAGAATGTGTTGTTCCAACATTTTCAAATGTGTAGTTTACACGGATAGTGAAAAAAAAAGCAAAAGATATTAAAGGGATGTTCAAGCTCACAAGTCGAAACTGACAACGCCATGGCAAAAGATAAACAACTGTACACTAAACAAAACATAAAAAACTTAAGATTGAGCAACACAAACCCCACTAAAAACGGGGGGGGGGTTGTCTCAGGTGCTTTGGATGGGTAAGCAGATCTTGCTGCACTTATGGCACCCCTCATGTTGCTCATGTAAGTGCAAAGCTGGTGATAAGTCTAATTTGGTAGGTCACATTTGGGGAAAAGGCGATGGGATAGCAGTTACGACAATTGGAACATATCCATAGTCATCTATGAAACAGATATTCCTGAACGGTCATCTAACTTGTAATGGTGTCTATAAAATTTACAAAGGGATGTTTTCAACTTGAAAATAAGTAACCTAAGTATGGAGAACACATTAGTTTAAGTCTTGCAGTATGGAAACTTATTATAGCAGATATGTCTAGTACAATGTCAGATTAGTTAAAACTGCATGGCATCATAGCAATCAAAGTGTTCACCAAATGAATAAAGGGAGGATTTTGTAGACTGCTTTTACCTACCAGTGGATCTTATGAGGCAAAAATTGGTATAATGTTGACAAAAATGTAATGGATAAAATATTTTTTTTGTTATCATGGGTCAATAAGACAGCAACCCAATGATACAAATAATCAAATGACATCTACTCACTACTCAGTAGTTTATTATTTATTACTGTAAATTCAGAAATTATTACGAATAATGTGACTGGATGAGAATCGCAGGAAAAAAACATACTCGCATTCTAAAATCTGATACATATATTTGTATGCAGCTTTTCTTGTAATCGCTATGATTATTCTCACATTTTGGTCTGTCATGTCGAAATCGCAATAATAAATGCACGAAGTAGTTTCTGAATTTACAGCATTTATTATTTTGTCCATATGAATAAAACCCAAAGTCCTAGATGTTGACTAACTGCTGATTTTGTGCTTGTATTTTTCAGTCTAACACCACTGTGCTGAACCTTGACATCAGTGATAATTGGTTAGGAGATACAGGTGGTCTTATTGTGTGTAACATGTTGAAAGAAAATATCTACATCACAGATTTGGTAAGTTTTATTTATATTTGTAAGGACTATATATAATGTCACTGTTTTAAGTCAGACTTGCAAACACATGGAAACAAAATGGAATAAAAAAACTGTGATTCAACCTCACAAATTCATGCACCGCCTGATAACCACCAATTTGTGTAGAAATAAAAAAAAGTTGTTTTTGAACTATAAATTAAAAACAGGACTATATTCTTGTAAAGGTTAATTAAAATACAGAAATTGACTTTAGATGCACAGTGTACAAAATGTGCACCTTCTTTTTAGTTATGATAAAAGTCATTATTATACTTCATGTACAATGATGTATAAATGCCAGATTTTGATTGGTTAATACGAGGGAGACAATTTACTCTATCCCATGGTAAATACTCTTATTACCCTTCACGGAGACGCTTGCTCAAGTGTGCGCTTTAATAAATACAGATGATTATGTACAAGACGACATAGTTTATTACTTTGAATTTGAAATTTAATAGACAGTAGTAACAGAACATTCAGTATAATAAATTAAATAACACATATCTGAGAGGGTGATAGAGCAGATTGTTACCCCTCGAAAAGATATTGTCAACCTTGGCTTTGCCTCAGTTGACAATGTTTTCTCGGGGTAACAATCTGCTCTATCACCCTCTCAGCTATGTGTTATTTATATAATGTTCCTACAGTCTCCCCAAAAATATTTTTCATCAGAAAATAAAAATGGAGATGCCCTTTGGTATTAGATAATAAAGAGTCTCTGAAATTTTCACTAACATGCTGTCAGTATATAGATATTGTTGCAGAGGGATGAACAAACACAAAGGTAGGAATAATCCTTCCTTTTTCCATTTATATTATAAAGTTCACACTCAATTACCTGCTATTGATACGGCGATACAATAAGTAATGCAGATCAAAATATGCAGTACTCCATAGCAAAAACAAATGAGTTTAATAGCTATCTGGAACACACTGTCAGACCCTATTGTATCTGTGGTACCTATAGAGGTTAAAAGGGTGTGAAGTTGAGTTTTTTAATTACAAATGCATAACAGAAAAAACACAATGCAGATTATTGATGCAATAATAAAAACAAAGAAGTAACCTTGTTCTCAGAAGAAAAATGTATCATTTCTGTCACTCATCTCCGATATATATAATCTACATAAGATTATTAATGTGTAAACACAATATACATTATATATTCAGACGTTACGAGACAATAGACTAGGATTTGGCTGTGCAGAACAGATTGGAGAAGTGATGAAAACCAATTCAACTCTTACACATCTTACACTATCAGGTAGGATATTTACTGCATTTGTTATCCGCTTCTTATAAAAATAAGGAGATGTGGTATGATTGCCTATGAGACAAATATCCAACAAAGTTCAAATGAACTGAATATAAGCAATCATAGGTGACCATACAGCCTTCAACAGTGAGAAAAATCCATACTGTATAGTCGGCTATAAAAGGCCCGACATGAAAAACATGATGCATACCGTATAATCAGCTATAAAAGGCCCTGACATGAAAAATATGAAACAATTCAATTGAGAAAAATAATGGCCTAATCTATAAAACTAATTTTATAGGAAAAAACAAATATGAGAGACATGAACCAAGGACATCCACTGATCTACAGGCTCCTGACTTGGGACAGGCACATATAATGTGGCGGGGTTAAACATGTTTGCTGGCGCCAAACCCCCCCTCAAACCTGGAACAGTGGTGTACCAGTTTGCTTCATATGAATATGCTTGATTCCAATAGTTATCTTTCAGTCAAAGTGTTTGGTTTTAGGTGACCTTATTTAACGTCATTTGTGTGTTTGTTGGGCACAAAATCTACGTCAATATGTTGAGCAATGGGATGAATGTTCTAATGGGGATCATTTTCTTATGAATGCATAGATAAACGTGTTAAATGGTAGAATTTATAAATTGCTTTAGGCAGGGTTGGATTATGTACATAAGAATAAGATGTGTGTTAAAAAAAAGTCAAGCAGGCTCAATGGTTATGTCAGTTCAAAGATGCAGGAGTTCAGTTCACCTATAAAATATTAAAATGACATTTAAGCAATTAGTGTAGTAAAAGAGTTTTTCTGGTAATGGAAAATATGTGCATCAAACCGGCCCAATCAAACGTATTACCATTAGATGATATAAACAGTTGTAATGAAAAAGGAAAATGAATATTTAAAATCTGAATAAAAGCAGAAATAGAAATCTTTATGTAGATCAGAAATTGAAATCTCAAGGTGGTACACAACACTACAGGGAGATAACTCTGTAAAAATCAGCTGAACGATTTAATCACGTTCTATTGTTAAGGAAATATTAAGTTTCTCAATGATCAAAATTAGTGTTTGTCAAACTGCTATATATCCAATGAATTTTTACCGATAAAATGTGTGTTCAAGTATTTTGAAATTTTTATATTTTTGTCAAAGGGTCAAAGTAAATATTTTGTCAAAATTTTATGAAAATTAAACGAGCCAAATTAATTTTAGTCAAGGTGTTTGGTACCACTTTAAAGAACAGGAATTGTTACATAAAAGCTTTCAGTCGCAAAGATGCTCATATTTTGTAATATAAAATTAAACATAATGTCAATCTCAACTGGGGATAGTCAAGGTATGGTCACTGTGCAATTAATATTTTGACAAACAGCCCCCAAAGAATATTTCAAAGTCTGCCTCCAAAAACTTGAAGTACAGACAAGAGACACAAAATCCTTTTCATCTTAAGAAAAAAGGCATTTAAGAAGAAATGAAACGCTTGCACAACAAACAATTATACAATTTACCTTGAACATGCAATTAGTTCTTTTATAATTTTGACTTTAGTTCTATTATCAGTTTTAAACATCAGTATGTTTTTTTTTTTTTTCAGGCAATCAATTTGATGACAAATCTGCTATTTTCTTTGCTGATGCAATCACTGTAAGTATATTGTTTCGTTAGAATTTAGTATTTAATGTAAAGGCCATGAGTGGTCATGATCTACAGTGACTTGATTATAAGTGTTTTTCTCCACCTGCTGTAGTTCATTCAAAATTGTGACGCAATTGCAATTTGTTTTATAATATCAAACTGTTTATTTAATGGTCAGAAATTTTAACCTACTGCAAAGTCAAGTTATCTAAGTGCAAAGTGACAAAAAAAAAGTATACTACATTCTTATAATCCTTGAAATCAAATTCATGGGAACTATAAAGATGATACCCAAAATTTGTATACACTTATTTATTGTAATGAGTCGTTTGAAAAGTAAGGTAGTAATTTTTGAATTGCTAGAAAAAAGATACCAAATTTTAAGTTTTTGAATTATTTCTTCTTAAATGTTCTATGTGTGCTGCAAAGCTGTCTTGAAATTAAAATCTTTAAATACTTAGTGAAATATACTTGTAGCTTAAAAATGTTCTCATGAAGATTTAAAGGGAGATAAGATCAATATTTCAGAAAAATGGGATAGATGATTTTAGATTATCTCCCATGGAAATGTATTGACAACAGATTGTACATTCACATATGATTTACTGAAACTGATGTCTGATTCTTATAAATATAGAAGACTTTGTGTAAAAGGAATAGTGCACAAATTTATTTTGGACATTTTTATAACAATTACATATACTTTAATACCTCACCTTTCAATGACCCATTGCAAATAAAAATTCCTTACTACTATCTGTCTAGTTACAATGAACATGGCAAGAAGAGACTTATAGAGACAATCTGCCTTATCTCAAAACAATCAAATTTTGATAGTTGATTTTAAAGTTTGCATGATTGAATATAAAAATAAATATTTTTTTTAGCATTATAAATTTTTCATTGAATAATTGATTTTTTGGAACTTGTATTGCTTTCAGATATATTATAATTTTGATTATTGCTTTGTTTTACTAGACTTCAAAATTAGAATACCTAAACCTTAGTCACAATCGGTTTGGTGAGATAGCAGGACTTCTACTGGGACCAGCTATAGCAGAGAATACTACAATGAAAGAACTGGATATCAGTTGGAACAATATACGACGGAAAGGGGCCATGGCGCTAGGACAGGGTATTAAGGTAAAACCATCTTATGGCCTTCCTATAGTGGGGCATTTTTTCCCAGTCTGTGCATCTGTTTATCCCTCTATCCTGTGTTAGGTAAAAGTTTCGGTTTAAGGTAGTTTGTGGATAAAAATGAAACTTGGTAATTATATGTTCATTAAGAAGAGAACCTCTTACTGATGACCAAGATTTCTCAGTTCACTGATCATGGAAATGTGAAAGTGTGAGCTTAACTTGATGTCCTACGGACTGATAAAATAACAAGTTTTACCCCAAATTTGTACGATACTTGTGCATTTAAAAATATAGAATTTTAGTAATCCTTAGAAACCTTCTTAAGTAACAGTGTATATACAACATTGTACAAAATTTTAGGCCATGAAACATAAATGTTACAAACAAATTGGCTGTACTTTTTTTTACATTTTATATATTATCATTTCTATGCAAAAGAAGATATCTATAATTTTTCTATAGAATACAACAGATATCTATCCACAAACAACAACCTTCTTAAAGTGGTAGACAACTAAAATTTGGTGAATTGTTAGTTAAATTACTTTTAATGCTAAAAATTCACTTTTGCAACATTCTTCAATTTTAATGGTATATTAACTAGTTATACCTCCATAGGGTAGAGTACATCTTGTTGTACTTAACTTATGTAATGAAATTAGAATAAAAGATTTAAAAAAATTTTAGAAAGTAGATTATTGGACTAACCAAAGGTGTAAAGAACTTATATTACACAGCAGTGCAGGAAAAGCACTGAACTCTAAAATTACTGTAGGATAGATAACATAAAAATAATAAACAATTTTACCCATAATGAAGAATGCTCGCAGTTACTGAAAGCAACCTGCTGTTAAGAAATCATTCCAACCTCCACCCTTTTAACCTAAAATTTCTCTACTTGTATTATGGAAGAACTCACTGGAAGAAATTGTTTTAGAGATTTGAATTTTTTTTTTTTTTTTATTCAGAACAACGACTTTATGAAAAAGATGAATGTATCATGGAATGGCTTTGGTGTGGAAGGTGCTATATCACTGTGTGATGCTTTAAAACATAACCAAGTCTTAGAAGAGATTAACATAATGTAAGTTTTTGCTAATTTTCAAAACATTTGCAAGACTGAGAAGCAAAAAGTAAGCTGAAAAGAAAACAACAAAGCAAAAACAAATATAAAGGTCATACGGAAAAGCTTAAAATTTCATAAACTGGAAATTTACAAACAAAATATGTTATTTAAATTATGCTGTAACCAAGGTTTTGTCCACCAGGCAGATAGTTTATTAGTGGACTGATTATTCATCAGCATAAATTACAACCCAGTGATACAAAAAAATGATTCAATTTCTTCACACACAACAAGCATTCAGGTAAAAACTTAGAAGACGCTCCTTTTCACAATATTAAAAAAAGTCAAGAGACCTCAGACAAAGTCTATGACACATACAATACAGTGGAAAAATAAGCTGGAGTTGGCAAGAGTGGACTGTCCACTGTGGGCAAGTGGAAATGATGAAATACCTGTGAGCTGTAGTGGAGTTAGACACACATTTCTTAACACTTAATCACCATATATTTTACAGGAATTGTAGATTAACAACAGAAGCAGCTGTTTTGATAGGCAAAGGTCTGTCTGTAAATGAAAATACAGCATTAAAAGTTATTAAGGTAAGTGTCTTGGTTGTCACCTTTCCACCGTAGACAGAATGAAGTGTTTACTTATGGAATAAATTTTGCATTAACATTCTGATATTTTTAACCTTTCATTTTAATTATTATTTAAATGATTACTTACTGCGGATTCATTATTTAAATGATTACTTACTGCGGGTTCATTATTTAAATGAATACTTACTGCAGATTCATTATTTAAATGATTACTCACTGCAGATTCATTATTTAAATGATTACATACTGCAGATTCATTATTTAGATGATTACTCACTGCAGATTCATTATTTAAATGATTACTCACTGCAGATTCATTATTTAAATGATTACTTACTGCAGATTCATTATTTAAATGATTAGATTACTGCGGATTCATTATTTAAATGATTACTTACTGCGGGTTCATTATTTAAATGATTACTCACTGCAGATTCATTATTTAAATGATTACTTACTGCGGGTTCATTATTTAAATGATTACTTACTGCGGGTTCATTATTTAAATGATTACTTACTGCAGATTCATTATTTAAATGATTACTCACTGCAGATTCATTATTTAAATGATTACTCACTGCAGATTCATTATTGAAATGATTACTCACTGCAGATTCATTATTTAAATGATTACTCTCTGCAGATTCATTATTTAAATGATTACTTACTGCAGATTCATTATTTAAATGATTACTTACTGCAGATTCACGTCGCCAGTAAACTTTATTTGCGACCATCAAATCACGAGTTGATGCCGTCGGAGTTTAAAATACAATACAGTTATCTCTTAAATTACATTTATTTTCAGCTTGGTAAAAATCCTATGCAAAGTGCTGGATGTTATGGTATCTGTGCAGCAATACTACGGAATCCAAATTGTGTTCTTGAAGAAATAGATTTTGAAGTAAGTTGTCTGTAATAACACTGCACTCCATTCAAAGGGTTACTTGAGTCAGCTGCCACCCACAAGATAACTATCATGTCAGATTATTGGACTTGTAATGGCAAAAAATGACTTATCTCCCTTCTTATGATATTTCACTGCGTTTTCTTCACATTTTTAGGTGGTCTAAATGAAAACTCCAAATATATCCATGAAAAGTTGATCTTTGGTACTATTTGGTCATACAGCTTCAAAATATTGAATTATTTATAAGAAATCATTTTTTCTTCCCTCTATTTAAACGGGAACAGACTTGCACTAAGAATTGTGATGAGTGATTCAAGTAATATGTAGCAGCTGTCTCAACCTACATCTATATTCAGTATGAAAAGTATCATGTATAATTAGTTTTATCTTAACTTAAAAAACAAAATAAAAGTTTTGTATAATGTTAAAACGTTAAAATTTTGATTTGCAATATGGTTTCAGTAATTTAAGCTTATATTAGAAGTGACAATTGCTTCAGCATGTTAAAGGCTGCCACTGCAGGAAGGTAAATTGAGAAAAGTGCTTTTGATGAACCAAATTATTAAAGTTTTATATTCATTTTGAAACAGGCCTCCAACCTGAATATTTGACAATACTTTTCTAAAAGTTTTAAAAGTTAAATTCCCTATTATTCTTGACCTTAAGAAATGTATGTAGACTTGTTAGCTCACCTGGCCTGAAGGGCTAAGTGAGCTTTTCTCATCACTTGATGCCCGTCATCCGTTGTTGTCGTCCTTCGTTGTTAACTTTTACAAAAATCTTCTCCTCTGAAACTACAGGGCCAAATTTATCCAAACTCGGCCACAATCATTATTAGGGTATCTAGTTTAAAAAATATGTCTGAAGACCCCGCCTGCCAACCAAGATGGCCGACATGGCTAAAAATAAAACATAGGGGTAAAATGCAAGTTCTGTCTATTATTTTGAAAACTGTTATAAATAAAGAAAAACTGACAAGGGCAAAAATGTTCAGAATGTTGAGTTCTCCCAATTGTTCATATATGCCAAAACTGTCAGACAACTTCTTATAGGAGTTATTGCCCTTAAATGACAAATTTTACCATTTTTTTCATTTTTTGCCTATTATCTTGAAAACTATGATAGTTAGGAAGAAACTTTAAATTGCAAAAATGATCAGCAAATCAAGTTCTACAAATAAGTCTAACATGGTCGAAATCATCAGTCGACTCCTTATTAGAGTTATTGCCCTTTGATGATGATTTTTTATTAATTTTTTGCTTATATCTTAAAACTTATAATAGATAGATAGAAACTTAAATAAGCAGAAATGATCAGCAAGACAAGATCTACAATTTAGACAATATGGAGGAAATCGTCCGACGACTCCTTCATGAAGTTATTGCCCTTAAATGACAATTGTTACCATTTTTTCAGTTTTGCCTTATATGATAAAAATTATGATAGATAAATAGACACTATAAATCACAAAATTGATCAGCAAGGCAAGATCTACTAACAAGTCAAATTTTGCCGATATAGTCATTAGACTCACTCTTTATAGGAGTATTTAACCTTAAATGAGGATTTTTTTACCCTCTTTTGTTTTTTGAGCAAAAACTAAAGAAGATAGAGAGAAACTAAACAGACTGAATGATCAGCAATCCAAGATCAACAAACACATTTTTGTCATGAATTCAATTCTCGTCTACATTGTTGGAGAGTGTTGCACATAGACCAAGGTGAGCGACACAGGCTCTTTAGAGCCTCTAGTTTATAGAAATATTTGATAATGTTCTTAACAATTTCTTTTGTTTTAGTCGTTTGACGCATGAATGGTTTTTTATTTCAGGATGTTTTAGTAAATAAAGACTTTGAAGAAGTTTTCAAACAAGTGAAAGAACAATTACCCAATATAAAAATGAAACATGGCGGCATGGAGCCACCTCAAAAACCAAAGGCCAAAATACATCCCATGGTCAAATTAATGAACTATATTGAAAAGAACAATTTGAAATTAATAGACTTTTTTAGTCAGTTAGATAAGGATGGCAGTATGTGTATTTCTTATGAGGAGTTTGAACAGGGATTAGAGGTAACTATTATGTATAAAGTGCTATAAAAATTAAAAAAAAAAATAAAGAACTCCAAGGTTAAAATCAAAAAGGGGGAAGTTAATAAAACCTGACAAAACCAAATGGTCTACTATATCAATCATAAAAAAGATAAAGGGATGACAAAACAGCAAACTTAACCAATTAAAAACAATTGATTGTCCAAAGAAAAGAAACAGATTAGGAAATTTGTAGAAAAATTTAAGAACCATTTAGGGGTCCAGAGGCACTTTTTTCAATGGTTAAGTCATTATAGAACAAATGAAAAAAAAATCTGCCACATTCTTGTTTTTATTCTTGTAGTTACCATGCATGAGAGTTGGAGGTCCGTCTGTTCTTCTGTCCATCGGTACATTCCAAACTTAGTTTCTGCTCCCTAACTTTAGTTTGCCTCAACCAAATGTTATGAAACTTGTACACAATGCTTATTACCACAAAACACAGATCAAGTTTGAATTTGGGTGTTGTCACTTTTACCATTCTCGAGTTATATCCCTTTTTTATGTTATATGCAAGCAGGGGCATCATCAGTGTCCCATGGACACATTCATTTATTTTAAACCTAAAAACATAGTAACAACTACAAAACTTAAACTAAGACCACTTGAAATATGCCACAAATTGTGTATATAGAAGACCAATGAATTTTTGTCCCTTTGTAGTGCATTTTATATAGATAGAACCTGTATTAAACATATTAAAAGATCAACTGTCTTTTGAGACCACTTTTTTGCACTCCCTGAAGTGGTTTCTTAAAACAATGTACAATGAAGAAAAAAAGACACACAAAGGAAAGAGCATATTTGCATTAAGGTTAACAAGAAGAAGACAGGAATGAAAAATACCTGCAGAAAATTTGTTATGATCTCTAGCGAAAACCTAGAGTATTAGGGGACACAGTTTTGTTGATTTTTTCATCGGAAATCAACCTTAATTCTGATGATAACAAGACAATATAACATTTGTAAGGATTCATTTAATACCACTCCATTTGATAACTATGTAGTGTGCTAAGTCAGCTTTAGTTAGACTGTCTAGAGGATCTTCAGCATCATCTCAAAAGGTATTTTGTACATAGTCACAGATGAATCCATGTTGGTTTGTTTGATGAGGCTTAACATCACTTTTTGTCTAATAGATGTTGTTTTGAAGTTAATTACCATGATAACAGTTGTTAAAAAAAGATGAAAAAAATATTTTCAGCAGTTTCAGACAAAACAAATTTTGGGGACAAGAATTTTTTTTAGGTTGAATGTATTGGATTTTACTCCTTTATTAATGAGTTAAAAAAAAATCATTTTAATTTTTCTGTTTCGGTTTTTGTCTCGCATTGACGGAGTCAAAAAGCGAGACATAGGTATGCTGTTTCCGGCGGCGGCGGCGACGGCTGCGTCAACAATGTATTAGTTTGTGATTAGGTCTAGTTCATGGTGAACCACTAACTAGTGTTAGGTCAATGATATTTGGTATGCTGTTGTATTAGCATTGGCACATCTCATTACCATGGAGATTATTTGGCCCCACCACTCAGTCAAGGTCTATTGACTTTGAAACTTTGCTTAGTTTACATGTATTAGTTTGTGATTAGGTCAGTTTATTGGAAACCACTAGTGGTAGGTCAATGATATCTGGTATGCAGTTGTTTAAGCATTGGAATATCTCATTTCCATGGAGGATATTTGGTCCTTACCTCTCAGTCATGGTTTATTGACTTTGAAACTTTTGCTTAGTTTACATGTATTAGTTTGTGATTAGGTCAGTTTAAGATGAACCACTAATGTTAAGTCAATGATATTCAGTATGCAAATGTATTGGCATTTGCAAGTTTCATTTCCATGGAGATTATATAACCCCACCCCCTAATTATGGTTCATTGACTTTGAAACTTTTACATAGTTTACAAGTTACTGTTTGTGTTTAGGTTTGTTTAAAGGGAACGACTTATGAAAAGTCAATGGTATTTGGTTTGCAGTTGTATTAGCATTGGCACATCTCATTTCCATGGAGATTGTTTAGCCCTGTACCTTCAGTCATGGTTCATTGACTTTGAATATTTGCATAACTTACATGTTAAAGTATTGCTATTTTAATTTCAACATTTGCATTATCAAAATAACAAATAGGCGAGACATATCTTTGTGTTAACAGTTTATTATTGTATGCAATTCAGAAAGAAAGGAAATTGTTGTTCACATTTATGTCGAATGATTTTGTATCAAAATAAGTGACATTGTTTTCACACTTTGGGATGTAAAGATGTAGGCCATCACTTGTAATATATACCTGCATAATCATAACATTTACATCTGTTCTTGTTTTAACAAATTTGACAGTGTCTGCTATGTGTCTCAAATAAATATTGTAATGGCTTAACAAATTATTGTGAATTGTATAGCGTTATGATTTGATTGTTTCACTAATTTACAAAGTTGTGTACTGTTAATTCAGAAATTTTTGTGATGTTTTATTTTCTCGATTATTGAGAAAATGGCGAGGAGATAGCTATTGAAAAAAATGAAAACTAGCGTTTTACACATTGAAAACAGTATTTGTACACTGGATTTCCTGAAATTACAATAATTAGGATCAGATTTGTGTTTATTGTCCAATAATTGCAAAACATAAATATACTCAATAATTTCTGAATTTACAGTAAAATTGTGTTTGCTTTTCATTGTGATGATTCTATTCATGAGTTGAAATAATTTAAATTCAGTTGTACATTATTTTTTCACATTTATCTAAAGATACAATTTTACACCTTTTTTTTTTTTATAATTTGATATTTTGCATGAAACGAAAAACTAGTTTGTACAAATAAAGAGAAAATTGTCTTGATTACAAATCTTTTAAAAATTTAATTTCTTAGTATTCTTTTAGTATTGCAAGTTCATAAAATAACAGTCCACACAAAAACATGTCATCCCACTTGTATGCATAATTCTGAAACTGAACAAACTGTTCATCCGTGGTGAAGAAGCTAATACATTTACAGTACAATTTTTGTAGTAATGTCACATTTGACTGAGAATTTTTTTTAAATATTTGTTCCTTTAAACAAAATGTTTGTTCCAACCTCTATTTTACTGTAAGTATAACTGGTAGATACAAATTCTACTATTAGAGCTTGTCCTGTTATGTACATCTTATTTCAGATTTTCCTATTTTGACTTTCTGCATGGAAGCATCTAGTTTATTTATATTTTCTTTTTGGAAGAGTTTATTTAGTAAGATATTTTATTTTATAGATTAGAGCATGTGAAAGACCATGATAATTGCATATATATATGTCAAGCATGGTTGCAGTTGTAGATATAATATATGTTTTTTTCTTCTTCAGGAAAATGGAATTAAATTAACGAAAGAGGAAATAGAACTTTTACTGGAGGAACTTGACAGTGATGGGGATGGAGACATTAATTTTAGGTAAGGCCAAAAAAAAAAAAAATGTCAACTTATCCTTTCCTGTCCACGACCTAATTTTCTTTTGAAGAATACTAAACATATGAAAGCAAAATGAAAGTAGTCCTTTTTGATGCAGTTTCAAATTTGATAATTGTAAATGCTGGTTGAAATTATATTAAAAGGTCTCTGTAATGTTGAACATTTTTGTATTGGGACAAGAAACTAAAAAAATGGTCTGATAATTAAAAACAATGAAGTCTTTTAAACCAGCTGTATCAACAAGTTCTAAATTTTTTTCCCCCACTTAACTTGTTCAGGGACATGGAAATACCGGGCTTCGGTCTGACTGTCCATTTATCTGTTTGTCCATTCGTCCGTCCCACTTCAGGTTAAAGTTTTTGTTGGTCAAGGTAGTTTTTGATGAAGTTGAAGTCCAATCAACTTGAAACTTAGTACACATGTTCCCTATGATATGATCTTTCTAATTTTAATGCCAAACTAGAGTTTTGACCTGGACATAGAACATGATAGTGTGAGTGGGGCATCTGTCTACTATGGACACATTCTTGTTTTAATAGAGTAATGCCCCTTGAAAATATTAGATTTATGGAAAATGGCCTAGTTAACGCTCTCACTGGTACAATTCTTGCCAGATTTTTATAAAACTTATACTATAGTTAATTTCAGCAATATCTCGGACAAGTTGTATGATGTTGGACGATCAACTTTTAAAAAAAAGAGTTATGCCCCTTGGAAATATTAAATTTATGGAAAATGGCCTAGTTAATGCTCTCACTGGTACAATTGTTGCCAGCTTTTATAAAACTTATACACTAGGTTAACATCATTAATATCTCGGACAAGTTCCATAATGATGGAGGATGAACTTTTTTTAAAAGAGTTATGACCCTTGTAAATATAAAATGTGCAATGCGGGGGATATTGGAACTCTGTTCTTTTATTTTTTAGAGATTAAGCATTTTTTTTAGGGTACACTATTTAAAAGGATTAAACTGGAGTTTAAAAACTTTACCACTTTTAGTACTGATTTTCAGTAACGTTCCAAATATTCATTTTCTGATTTCGATAGCTATGATATTATAGGGAAAGTCAGGTATTTTCAAAGAAATATTGTAATCTGATTTTTATGTTTATTTTGAACAACTGTCAATTTGACAGTTAGATACACTGTTATATTTTTAATTTAGTTATTTTTAGGCAAAGCACCTTTTTTTTAAATTCCAAAAGTTTTTTGAATAGATTGTTGTTAGTTTTCCAGGTTATTTGCATTCACTATCTTTTAAAAAGAGTTTTGAAAACTAAGGTTCTGAACACTATCTAAATTTATCAATGAAGAATCTTATGAAAGAATGTTAATAAATTAAATGTGATTACCAAAGCAGTGACATATTCTGAGTTAATTATACATGAAGAACTTAGCAGTCCACCAGCAGCAGTATTGAGCCAGTGTTTGTAAATAAAAATTACACTAAATAAATTTGATGGGTCTAAATATAAAAATAAGAAGATATGGTATGATTGCCAATGAGACAACTCTCCACAAGAGACCAAATGACACAGAAATTAACAATAACAACTATAGGTCACTGTACTGCCTTCAACAATAAGCAAAGCCAATGTTGCATAGTCAGCTGAAGTTCTTTTCTGGATTTACTTTCATAAACAATTTTTTTTTATCTTTTGCAGTGAGTTAGCCACAGGCCATACAGAATTCAAGGAACGAACAGACAATATAAACACAATACTAACCGCATCACAGCCTAGACCACTTACAACTTGATTTATATACATTTGAACTTGATTTGTCTATAGTTGCCATAATCTATGCAATCATATTTCAGTTAATTTCAGTATATCAAACTTGTGATGTATGTGCATCACCAGTGAGATACAGAAGGAGAAAAACAAAAAGAAAATATATTCTATATTTTTTCTGATAAATGTAGCTTTGAAAAAAACATTATATTTAGAGAGGTAAATTCTCTGTAAAATTGATTTTTGAGAATATGGAATGAATGTACATTAGTCACAATCCGATTCCGTAACTGCAATATTCATACATCTAAGGATTACATGTAGCTCTTTAAAGCTGTTGTTCATATTGACTATGTTGAGAGTCAGCTACAATGAAATGTGATGCTCACACTCTACAACAACAGGTATTGTTTAAGGTATAGGAAAGTGTAAAATTTTGGAAATCACGGAAACTTCTTCAGTATTTTTTTCTCCATAACATAAGGGTGACTTTTCAAGGACTTACATATCCAGATTTAGGACAAACATAAATACTTTCACTCATATATAGAGATTAAGAGATTAGGACAAAGTAAAATAAGTGCTAAGAGTGCTAGAAAACTTTTCTAGAAAAAAATTCTATATATCTGGTGTCAATACTGAGGTTGTGAATTCGAAACCCTGTAGTGGCAGGTGGATTTTACTCCAATCTTTATTGACTCTGATTGCTGGCAAAGTTTGGTGGATCTATTTAGGCACTCCAGCTTCGACCACCATTTAAAAACTGGCTGTCACGAAAAAGCCAGTAGTGCTGATAGTGGCGTTAAATACCAACAATCACTCAGTCATATATATCTTAAGAGCAATATAATGTAAGAATCAAATCTTGATCTCAATGTCTTGCTTATTGTAAATTAATTCATGTAACTGTACTGTTTATAGTTTGAGTCTCAGAGAATTGTAATTTTTAATGATTTTTTTTCAAGTCAGTTGACTTTTTTTAATCAGAAATTTATGAAAATATATGAAATTAGATATGCTTATAAATATATAGTTTGATCAGATTATAACTACATGTAGGTGTCCTTCGAAATAGCATTTTTTGATCACCATAAATAAAATAAAACCTCTATAATATGCATAATTGAGATTGTAATCAAGAGTCAAGAAAAAAAGAGAAGATATCAGTTATTATAGTCGGGTAATAGGGACAAAGAATTCAAATTTTGTTTTGGATTTTTCATTGATTCAAGTAGGCATTCTTTTATTCTTATAAAATGGAATTGAAATGTACAAAATATCCAATGAAATGTAGGTGATGAAAAACAGCAAACAAGCAGTGCCTTAATTTTTGTTGTTGTTACTCTTTATTGTAAGAATATACATTTTCTTGAACAAGAATTCTTATCTGATGTCTTTCCTACTAATATTTAATGTCTTTGGTTTAGACTTTTGTATTATGCTTGAAAACTTGAATTTACTTCCGTCCATGTAGATTATATACTCTGTGATAAGTAATTTTACTTTAACAATGAATAACCATTCCAAAAGCTAAGTAAAGCTAACCTTTGTAATTGTTTTAATGTTAAAGATATGTACTTATATAGTTAATTTAAAAAAAATAAAAATGTCTTTCTTAATTGTATTGAATATTTCTGTATGATAAACAAAATACATATATCTAGCAACTAATGTTGATATGATTCTATTAGAAAAAAACACTTTATTAACAATGATGCAGTTGCAATGATATTGTTTTTTGTTAAATTTTTATTGTGGGTATTATGAATAAATCTTGAGCTTTACAAGTCAACTTCAAGGTTTTGATATCTAAAAGATGGAGCAGTTCTTTCATATTCAGCATCAGAATCAATAAAACTCATATTATAATTGAAAATAGATTTTTGTTATATATTAAAACTAATATTTGTTTTTATTTGTTAGTGTGATTGTCCATTTGTTATCATAGATTGCTTATTTATTTTTGTTCTGATGACTTGAGGGTATTTGTAATTTCAAATTTCAATTCAAGTTCTTAAAAGAAGATAAAAAGATGATTTTTTTTAAATAAACCATTATTAAAATTTGTTGTTTTTATTACTAATAAGCCATTTTAGAGGCTCACTGTGGACGGGACATGGTATAATACTTGGTCAGTCCATCCACTATCTATACAAGTAGATTGTTTTGCCGTTGCCATATTGCATGTAATTATATCCCATGCAACGAAGTTGCGGAGGGTATAATGTTTTTTACCAGTCCATCAGTCCTGTTCTTTTCAGCAAGCTCCTGTGAAACCTCACAACAGAATTTCATGAAACTTTGTAGATAATAAGGACATACTATGTAGATGTGCATATCGACAGGAAATTACGATTTAATTTTTTTTTCTAGGAGTTATGCCCTTTAACTTCAAATTTTAGTCAGAATATACTTTGTCATCGCAACTCCTCTGAAAAAAGTAAAGTCACAAAAATACCGAACTCTGAGGAAAATTCAAAACGGAAAGTCCCTAATCAAATGGCAAAATCAAAAGATCAAACACATGAAACGAATGGATAACAACTGTCATATTCCTGACTTGGTACAGGTATTTTCTTAGGTAGAAAATGGTGGATAGAACCTGGTTTTATAGCTAGCTAAATCTCTCACTTGTAGGACAATGATGCGTGAACAAAACAAACAGACACAATAGGTAAAAATGTCAAAAAAAGGGGCACAGCAGTCAACATTGTGTTATAATATCAATCACTATAAAAAAACATATATGTAACAAAGAAGTACTAAAAGGCCTATGTTAAATCCACCCATAAAGGATGAAACAACACAACAGAATTTCATGAAACTTTGTAGATAATAAGGACATGTTATGTAGATGTGCATATCGACAGGAAATTACGATTCAATTTTTTTCCCAAGGAGTTATGCCCCTTTAACTTAGAATTTTTGCCAAAATATACTTTGTCATAGCAACTCCTCTGAAACCACATAACAGAATTTCATGAATCTTTGTAGATAATAAGGACATACTATGTAGATGTGCATATCGACAGGAAATTATGATTCAATATTTTTTTCTAGGAGTTATGCTCCTTTAACTTAGAATTTTGGCCAAAATATACTACTGCAACAGTTTGTCATCCAAACTCTGAAACCATACAAGAGAATTTCATGAAACTTTGTAGTTAATGAAGACATAATATGTAAATGTGCATATCCACAAGAAAATTTTTTGTCCAAGTACCAATGTGGGGGCATGGGGTATGTGAGCATGCTCACAAAGGTTCTTTAATTTAATATAATGAATGATTGATGTAAGAAAAACTCTCTTTTTGGGAAATTGTCTTTTTTTGACGTAATGGAACTTTTATTTTTCACATTTTGAGTCATGATACTTTAATTATTTCAATGAATGGCATTTTGTTCATTAGCAATATCTCAACCAGACTGGTTCATTTCTCAATGTTAAGTTTTCTTGGTTATATCTGTTTCTCAGAAACTATAAGCACTAGGTCAACAATATTTTGTACAAAAATGATTTAAAGGTGCACATGTTGTCTGTCAAGGTTCTTTTCACCGTTGCCTCATTTTTATGGTTCATTGATAATGTTTAGTTTACATAATACTAGTAACAAAGCCTTCATACTACAGATTATCAACTTCAAACATGATAACTATATCAGAGGAGACATTTCAGTGTGTGTGCAGTCTTGCTTTATATATCTCGACCCTTCTCTGATAAAAATCTTTTTGGTGCATGAAAATAACACCCCCCCCCCCCTCCAAAAAAAAAACGGTTTTGGAAAAGCACTGCAATCAAATATATATATATATATATAATTCGTCTAAACATCAGCCCAACAATGTTAGATCTGTAAATTTGCTTCCGCAAATTTTTTTTTCTTCCATTGTCGGGATTCGAACTTTCGAACTCGTGTATATATATATATCGATAACGTATAAGATAATAATATTATGGGCAGTGGTGACTGAAAGCCAACTTAAATTACATAAACTGTTGGTATACTGTTTCACACTAATATATTTTTTTTACTTTAATTTTATTGCCATATAAACCATTTTAAAAAGATTTTTGACAGTAACATTCAAAAATATAACTTATAAACATTATGTGAATGCAAAATACACAAAAAGACAAAAACAAAACCATAGGAAAACATATACAAGTAAAAAAGCAGAAAATTCTATTTATATATTTATATAAATAAATCAAGAGTCCCCTGTCCTCAGTTATTGGTAGCACTACTTCATTTTTTTCAGTATGGAAATCTATGTACTTTTTCAACCCCATAAACTAATTTCTAAAGAATTCATTGCACTAAAGCAAAGGAAACATTTTAGTTTGGGCAAACTATAAACTCGGCGATTTTTTGTTCATTCAAAAAATATTAGGAACAGATATTCAACAACAACAGTATAATTGTAACCTTGAGCTACAGTCACACTATTCAGCATCAAGAAGCCAAAAAAAAAAAAAGAAGAAAACATTAGCGACAATAAGACACATTTAGTGTCAATTTAATTTACATACTATTAAAACAAATAACTTTATAGAAAATAGTCAATAGATTACTATTAATTAATTGTTGTTTTTTAAAGTTTAAAATTTTGTGGGTATATATTCTATGCACTGACTAAATTAATTGTTAACAGGTTTTTCAGTATTGCATAGAAGAGATACAATTAAAGTAAAGTAAAATAATATGGGCAAGAATTCACTAAAAAGACCTAAAGTGTGACATTGAAAAAAAAATAGATCCCTTTTATTTATTTAAAAAATGCTTTACTACTAATTTCTTTTAGCAAGACATCTAAAATCAAGAGACCTTTAGGAAATATGTCTTGTTATAATACCATATTTATTGATATATGGAGTATGTAACATTGACACCAAGATTATTTCAATGGTCAATTACTCATTTAATTAAAAAAGTATATAATTTTTGCTATGGTGTGAGATGATGTTGGAGTTTGTTCCAACATTTACCATTTGAATGACAAAAACAGTCATTTATTTCCATTAAAATATAAAATCTTCTTTGGTTTGTGGATTATGTTAGAAGTTTGGACCAGTTCTTTCGATTCAGGAAGTATTTACTACTGTGTATGTTTGATTGAAAGATATTTGAAGTATGGAACATTGACTTTTTCGTGTCAACTGAAATAGTTACATACATTTAGAAATCCTACATTTAGAAATCTCATTTATGTCTATTATGTATAATATTCTTTGTTATTTATTTACTTGTATGTGATGTATTATAAAAAATAACTTCAAACATCTCAAAACTATGACCTTATAAATATTATACTGTTATATTTATTGTTGCATGAATCCATGTAACATTAACAATGTTACATGCACATTTTGAGATCAGTTTAATTTTTGTTATACAATATAAATTGATTCATATAAGTACAGATCTTAAAATTATCTAATACTTTGTAAATTTTATTAAATTAAAGCAACTGAAAGCATTCCATCAAAGAAGTATTTGATCAAAATTTGTAAGATTTGATTAACACCAAAGTCGAAGACATTATTCTTGGCTTTCCTATCATAAGTTGCACACATATTTAAAGAAAGTGTGCTATACTTTCATCAACTGGGTAAATAAAGAATAGTATAAGACAGCAATTTAAGTCCTTGGGTGCTGCAATTTATGTTTGTTTGATAAATAATTACATGTAACAATGTTTGACACCGAATGTTACCTGCAAAAGTAAATTTTCATTCTTTATTTGTAAATAAATCGTAGCAAACAAATACATTGGATTGATTATTTTTGGAAAATTTGACTATTAGATATAAGTTCTGAATCATTTACACACTAAAATGAGGTAAAATAAGCTGTTATACACCCACATTAAAGTGCATGTATAAAATGTCACACTTCTTGTCACTAAAAAACCTTGAAATATGATGTTTAAAGCTTTTTTACGCGGTACCAATACATTTTAAGTTAATTCTTTTTTTTTTACAAAAGGATGTGTATGGTATAAATGTGTAAATAAATGTCTTAAAAATGTTTCGAAAACTGTTCTTTATATGTTTCCTACAAATAGAACATAGTGTTGACACCAAAAAGTCCATTAAAGAATTCTTGTCCATATATAAAATCAGTACTCATTTTTAAAGATGGGTCCAACTGCTACTCTATATTTATGACATATCTTACAGCAAATAACATGAATTCCTGTTTTATATTATAGTGAAATATGTTACTGTCACTCTTACTTTGAGTATGTTAATCTTGATTCATTTATACACGTTGATGAAACCAGCAAATATATTATTGTATACATATCCTTGATAATGATAAACAAAATAGCATTTTTTTCGTGAACAAATGTTCATTTTCTTCCTTAATCTATCGTCTAGTCTAGTCTAGTCGCTAATTTGAGAGAGACTTGAGCGATAATTAAGTTAAGTCAAACAAGGATTTGAAAGACAAGTTCATAGCTTTAGTTTTAAATCAATATACATGTGAAAAGAGAATGTAGAATAACACTGTTAAGCTCATCTGGTCCAAAGGGCCATTTGAGCCTTTTCCATCACTTCGGGTCAGTATTTTCACATGGCCCACAGTGCACAGCGAGCTTTTATCATCACTGGACATCCGTCGTTCTAACTTTTAGAAACATCTCCTCTGTAACTATTTGGCTAAATTTAACATATATATATAACTTGGCAATAATCATCATTGGGGTATCTAGTATGACAAACCTGTCCGATTACCCCGCATGCAAACCAACATGTCTAAAATTGAACATAGGGGTTATAAAGTTTTTTGCCTAAAATCTAAAAAATAATTATAGATAATGAAAAACTTTTTATTTAGCAAAAATAATCAGCACGAGATTGTATTAATTGTTAACTTGTTTTCGTCCTGAACATACACGAAATATTTGTCACTGGCCGTTTTGGAACCAGCAGTCGATAAATTAATCACAAGGTAATAGTCCTATGGAACTTTATTCTCACTACGAGCCGACATGTGGCGTGCTTATTGAAGAAACAACACATAAATTTATTTAAGTCTTTAGTGTAACGCGACCGGGGTT